TATTTCTTGGGCCTCGTATTTTGCCTCGTGTGAACGCTAAATACCGGATTTCTTGCTACGTGTGAACGCGGCTATTGTCACATGACTATCATCTCGATTACAAGGAGGCAGGCTCAGGAGGTGACAATGGAGGCCAAAAAAATTAATGAAAGTTGCCCACTAGACCTTGTATAAAAACAAAATAAAACTTGAATGTAAATGAACCCTAAAATACGTGTTAATCGTCATATATAGTAATATAGTAATCCGTGAAGCTTTCGTTTCATACCCAGTCCCTGCCAGACGGCACACGATGAATGAGGGATGTGCCCCACCCTCAGCATTACTCGACGAAGTCACGAAATCTTACCAACCTCTCCAGGAATGTGTTCAGGCTACGACTCTAAATCAACAATGAAAATGGTGCTGAGTATTGGAATTTTATACATGCTATATCTCAAAGTACCATACTTACTTAATTCAATCTTGGTGCCACAGCCGGCACATCTGTAGTTTTGCTTCGCCATGATGACCTTTCTCTTGGGCGACGGATGAATGCTGAAAATAATTTGTGCCCTAGGTGGCGCCCACTCCAGGTTTCCCCGCATTCTCACGCGTTTTTGGTTCTCGGTGGTTTCTCCATCGTCCGGCGACACGGGCCACGATTGTGGCAACGGGAGAAGCTGCAAAACATTCATCTTATATATTAACATCTTATTTCGACAACGATCGTTCCAACGTGCAAACGTACTGATTTACATTTCTAATATCGAGTATGGGTCATCAATCGAAACGTTAATACATACGCGAGTATGCCAACTTCAAAGACCTACCTACCATCTTACTACTAAAATAGAGACCATAGCTACCTACGTAAATCCACCAACTTCTACGACCCTCTTACCCTCTTACTACCAACAAATAAAAAACGGTTCTACTCTAAGCACAAATTCACTTAAAGACGATTCAGAAAGACAACTTCTGGAAATGACAATGGCCGGGTGGGGGAGAGGAAATGATTGCGTTACATGTGTAAAGGTAGTACTGCAAAGAGGACTGAATGTGCTACGTGTGGAAAGGTTGTCCTGCAAAGGGGGACAGATTGTGTTACATGTGGAAAGGTAGTACTGCAAAGGGGACTGAATGTGCTACGTGTGGAAAGGTTGTCCTGCAAAAGGGACAGATTTTGTTACATTTGGAAAGGTAGTACTGCAAAGAGGACTGAATGTGCTACGTGTGGAAAGGTTGTCCTGCAAAAGGGACAGATTGTGTTACATCACATGTGGAAAGGTAGTACTGCAATAGGAACTGATGATAACGTAAGGGTATACAGTTAAAATTTAAAAAAACGATTTTTTCACATGCTTGTACTGATGCATGTAACGATCATATGATTGTGCATAATAATACCACGATGTATAGCCGCCCGAAATAAATCGCGAGACCGCTTCGGCTAAGACACGCCGCTGCCGCCGCCGCCGACTGAAACTCACCGTCTGCGGTGCGTCCCGCTCCGACACAAGCCACTCGAGGTCAGACGCCTTCGGCAGCCGCCGCTGCTTGAAGCGCCGCAGCAGGCTGATCGCGACGGAGTCAGCTGACCGACTCGCCGGCTCGCTCGACGGGAACTGGTAGCGCTCCACGCTGCCGATGCTGTCGCTGGAAGGTCGCTGAAAGTCGGCGTCTGCAAGCGCGCGGGGGAGAAGAAACGTAAGTGAATGAGTAAGTGAGTGAGTGAGTGAGTGAGTGAGTGAGTGAGTGAGTAAGTAAGTAAGTGACTGAGTGAGAACGTAATTAAGTAAGCAAGTGAGTGAGTAAGTGAGTGAGTGAGTAAGTAAGTAAGTAAGTAAGTAAGTAAGAAAGTAAGTAAGTGACTGAGTGAGAAAGTAAATAAGTAATTAAGGTGGTGAGTGAGTGAGTTAGGTAACGTACTGTACAAGTAAGAAGGACAAGCGTTTAATGGACGTGTCGACGTCGCGGCCGAGTTTGAGGAAGCGAGACAGCCGCAGGACTAGTGACAAGCGAAGAAAATTGTGAAGAGAGCGTCGGGAATGCGATCAGCAATCTACTGGAACGTTACTCTAGATTGGCAGTAAAATAAATAGTAATAAACTAAAACTACGATAACGATTACCGCCTTGAAAAATAAACACGAAAATGTTTAAAAAACGTTGAGAGTTGAACGTGAACTTTTTTTTGGCAGAAGCACCACACAGCTGACATAACTAAGCAGCTGCCCAGTACAGCACAGGCCAGCAAGCAGAGTAGGAGCGGCAGCACCAGTAGGCCGCAACAGCAGCCAGAGCAGCAGCGGCACGGACACCGACCTGA